TATTTACCTTGCCATGGGCGAATTTTTTTTTCTCCTTAAAAACTAACAAATTACATTCATGTAACGTTTTACATTTCAAGCAAATTTGAAGGAATTTTTTTCCGTTAGTCCACTTCTTTATACATCTGATTGTCCATTAAAACACAAAGCCAACGCTGCACAGTGTTCGCTTAATCGTTCTAACATTCACACGAAAATGCACCCTTAATGGTGTTAAATAAAACAACGTGAACAACTGCACACGTCTTTCTGGCTAGGCGTCCTGATATCGTAAGGTCGAGGAGTACAAAATTAACATTCCCACCTCAACGGTGTTTGTGAGTTATAATTGTTGGCATTCGAGTAACCTGGGCATGCTAGCTTTAACGACGTTCACCCAATAGTACATTGGTTTTGAGTTACCTTTTACAGACAAGGCGTCCGGACTGGTCGGACGTAAACAAGAGCGCGTTAAACGAGACCATTTGACTGCCAGCGAGAAAATACGCAAAAAGGAGTTTGTAAGAAGAAATCACATTTTTTCTCCCAGACAGGAAGGAAAAAAAGTTTTCGAATGCTCTTAAGACAGCCAGTTTTTCTGTAACGACGGGCAGGCTCTACCATACAGTCCTGGCATTGTTGGACCTTATGGTTTCCTAAAACCTGAAAACTGCAGACAGTACAACTCGTGGTGGTAACTTGCAAGATCCGACAGCGCTAGATCAGTCCATGTCACGTTTTTTTCTAAACCAAAAACCGTCTGCCTGACAGGAGGGTAATCTAAGCAAACCTAAGTGGCAATCGTGCAGAGTTACGTAGACGCGAACGGATTAAATGAGTCATATACATAGTCATTACAATAGAATTCACCGCAAGGTCAGCACGATTGACCCACCTCCCAAACCTTAAAACTACTACTAGTTCTACTACCGTCGATTTCGACAACGTCCACCGTATGCTACACAACAGGGCGTTGTAGGGACGGTGACTTGTGCGTGAATTCATTTTAAGTGATGGTAGACTTGCGCTGCATCTGCCGCACTCTCTCTCTCTCTCTCTCTCTTTACCCACCCGCCTGAGCCCGGCGTCGAGATACAGTTAAAGAGTACCGGAGGCCGGTACTGACATGGCGGCCGAAATCGTCTGCGGTGCCACGGCACAACCTGACCTCTTCACACGCATCAGAAGATTAAAAGGAACCGTCACCGTCTGACTCCTAGTCCACCCATCAGCCACTACACACACAGCAGGCAGTAGGCTTATTAGGGCGGCCTAACAACAGCCTTCGGAAGCAGTAGTTTGCAAACCATAGCCGCGTCCACAATAGGTTATCGATCGGCATATGCACGAGCTAACACTTCGAGCTAGACAATCAATCGATAATTTGAATTTCTAGCTACATTCACTCACTTAGTCAAGAGCCAATGGGACGGGCCACTACCTCAGGAGAGAATCTTATTGGCTCAAGGGACATCGTTGACATACGTTTGTTTCCCTAAATTTGTTGTACATATAACGCTCAAAGACTTCCGCTTCTGCACACTTCCTGTCGTGTCCGCTCTTTGGGGGCTCACATGAGGCGAATATTTTGGCCTGGGCCCCCGTTACAACAATTTGGCGAGGTAATATCTCGGTCTGGGCATTCGATACAACAGGGCTGATGGCGTCTACTAGTACTGCTACTACCACCACCACGACTGGTCCCCAGTTAGTGTAAGTGAGGACAATCGACGCCCATACATGGGAGCGAACAGGACAGAAGATGATACACGCTAACATACTATGGTCTAGGGAGCGATGAGAAAAGAGAAAAAAACAAAAGAGGGCATTAAACACAGACGATAGTAGAAGAAGTAGTAGTAATAGCAACAGCAGTAGTAATAGTGGCAGTAGTAGTAGTAGTAGTAGTAGTAGT